GAACCAGACTACTCAATCCCATTTGAGTTTTAAGAAATGAAGTCGAGCTAATTTGTTCAATTTCATTAATTTTTCTAAAAATATTGGGCATTTGTACCAATGGAATAATAGCATCACAAAATAACTATAATAGAAAAAAAGATAGGTAAACTTTTCCAACAATTTATGGATGGATTTGCCAACAGAAATCCGCCATTGTTAAACTTACACGTGGAAACTTGCCTTTGGTTGGAAAAATATTTGGACATGGCTTTCACAGACAGCATTTGTAGATGAAATTAACAGCAGATGTTTCTAAATTACCAACACATTCTGTATGTCGATAACCCCTTCCCAAGAAAACCACCACATTCAGCAGCTGAGATTGTCCCATTAAATGGCAGACATGGTTACTAAAAGCGCAAAATCTTATAGAAACAAATGTACATTACATATCAAGTTAAAATCTCATTCAAAATTTCAAACTCGCTAAGTAATTATTCTTTTAGGCTTCAGCATATCAATATCATAATTTTCAGCAAAATATACAAGCATTTACTAACCAGCAAGTATAGCAACTCAATCATTGATCAGCAAATTGATTACACATAGCAGCAATGTTAATATATAAAATCCACTCTGTCAAATCACAAAACAACAAACATATTATCGTTGATTCGAAAGAAAATTCAGCTACACGATATCGCTAACCAAACATACTATTCATAGTATTTGTTTGCATTCCCTCCCGACTGCCCAGGTTCAACAAATTAAGCATTTTTTTCACGCAGTTACATACAAAAGCAATTTCTTTCGAGGAATGTGAGAATTATACCTGTACTCTTTGTAGCGATCAAAGGAATCGCCACTCCACCCTTGAGTTTTATCAGCTGCCAAAACTGAAAATGAAATCAAACAAAATATCACTTCAAATGCTCTAAACCCCAAAGCCGTCCTTCTCAAATTCACTCCCATTTTCGGCCTCATCCATGTTGATCCCACCGCCCTCGGCCGCCTCTCTCTGTCCACCTCCTCTGCACGACCGCCATAACCCTTCTCCAGCCCACCAATATCATCCCCCACTTGCCCCACCTTAGGCACACCCTGCGCCGAATCCTCCTTCACTGACCTGTTATAAACCACCACCGGCGACGTCCCCAGCCCACCCTTCGGCTGAAAATCAAGATTATCCGACTGCGGCAGATACGGTACCCGACCCTTTCCACCGGTAACCACAGGCATCGACGACAAATCAAGATTCTCCGATGTGGGCTTTTCGGAATGGGGCCATGGCTTCCGTTCCTTGCCCCCAGCAACCGGAGAAACCGCTTTTAAATTGGGATTACCCGGCGATGGAACCACATAGTAGTATTTATCCACAGGTCCAGAGCTTTTGCTATTCTTGTTACTAAAACTGACCTTCTCTGTTTGAAAACATGGATCATCAGAGCGCAGGGGTGAGTCAGAACGGAGTGGGGAGTGGAAAGAATCCACCTGACTCGTTGTTGACTCAGTGTCAGATATTGATAAGTGGTTGTTGCTACTTCTTCTTAGAATTTTCTTGTCCTGATTACTTGGGTCTGATTTTTCCATTATGGGAAAAAATTATTGCTCTGTTCTTTGAAATTGGAGAGGAGTTGAATTGAGAAATAGGAAGGCAGAAGAAGAAAAAGAATTTAAAGGCGGTTCAAACAGATTATCCAAAAAGCAATTCTTTACGTGACGTGATTAATCTTCGATACGACGTCGTGAATCCGTTCCTACAATCTTCTCTTTGGGGTTTAATTATTTCAGCCCCTGCTTCACAATTTGATTAAAATGGAATTTTGAATATTAATTTTTGGAGAAATGTGTGATTATAATATAAGGAAAAGTTTTTAATTTACGTGTAGAATATTTTATTGTGTGAATATATGATTAAAAATGAGTAAGTAAAAAAAAGTAATTTAGAAATAATAGTTGTCAAACAGTAGTTTATTTCCATTATTGCCGGTAAGGTTCTTGATAAATTACAAAATCCTCTCATATTTGAATTTTCATGTATATCTCAACTTAACATTTATCGATAGATGAAAGAAAAAATTTCTTATCCATTATGGATAAAACGATATCTTCGTACGATTTTTTAAAATAGTAATCGAATGTATTTTGAATTTGAAATTCGATCTGATTATACGAAAAGATTCATATATTTAAAAGCTAGTAGAATGTCCTGGTTTTATTACCAATACAAAGTAATTAATCTAAGCAATGTAATAAATAAATTAAAATAATATTTTACAATATAATTTTAAGTGCGAAGTATTGACCAAATATTTAGAGTCCTTTTGGTTTATATTTCATTTTTTTATTTTCTGTGTATCTATTTTAAGATTTATAAAAATGAGTTTGATTTGTCATTTTAAAAAGATGTTTCTCGAAACTTGAAAATAAGAAAGCGCATTTGATTTGAAATTTTAAAAATTGTTTTATAAATCAAAAAATTTTATTCTAATCAATTTGAAATTATATCTTTCACTAATACACCAAAACATTTTAATTCAAAAATTAAATAAAAAAGAGCAGAATCTTGCATCTCTACATAGTGTCAAAATACATCTTCTCACCCGAAGAAACAAGAGAAACCCTCGAAGAAAGATTTGAATAATCCCGCAGCAAGAATCCTTAACGATGCAGTAAAATTGGCTCATTCGGGTAATTTCAAACGATTGAAGAGTACAAGAAAACTTTGCTCGGGAACAACGTAAAGAAAACCGAGGTCTGCGCCTTTGACTTAGGGGCCCATACCCTACATATAGCCACAATAGCATATTAGTGAAAGTACTATTCAACTCCAATGAATGTCAAAAGGATAGTACTATTTAGTACCAGTAATGCTATAACACCAATTTATGTAACATTATATGATAAATTCAATTAAATGTAAAATTATGGGATTCATTTAATTGTTCATTTTATTTAATGACACTCAGTGCCACCTACATCGATCATGTAACATTAGTGATGCTGAATATCGTTGTCCTTGTCAAAAACACATCTCAAAGCACATACCCTGCCATTGAGTTGTAGAAGTTCACCCTCGACCCACTTTGGATTCCGGAACCCAAATTCTGCAATCCTTCCTTGACCTGTGTAACTTGCAACCTGGAAAAAGCAAGTTCCTTGTAAGAAGCTTCTGAAATGGATCATGTCACAATTGCAGCACCTGTAAGTGCTACGAGTATGGTAAGACAGCATAAGCCTAGAAGCATTTATGGTAATATGATGGCAAGAAGTCTAGCTTAGAAGCTAATATCTTGTCGATTCTAAAATATGGTCTAATATCAGATACCAAATTATGCACATTGCACGAAGCGCCAATCTATAAAATCCCATCCATCGTCTTTTTGTAATTAAGACCACATATCTCAAATTCAGCGAACCAATTGCTAACTCCTCCAAGATTTTCTTGGGTAATAAGGTACCTAATATAGTTT